CCCGCCGCGATGACGCACTTGTTTTCGACAAGGGTGTTGGGGGCCAAAACGTTTCCCGCTGTGCACTGCCACGTGCGCAGGCGCACCTGGCACACTCTGCGCATGCCCCGAACGTGGCGCACCTGATGCGGCTGGAACATGCGGCACACATGACGCACGTAATCACTTGGCGCATCTGGCGCACCAGGCGTGCCCGGTACGGTTTGGCCACAGGGGTTGCTGGCGCACCTGGCGCGCGTGGCGCGCCTGGCACGCCTGGCGCACCTCGCCCCAGCATTGCGCACATGGGGCTTGTTTTGGTTTCAATTAGCTGTCCAGCCAAAGAATGCCGCTGAACACGCTGCGGCTCGGGTGCTACTTATGTGTTGGGAGGGCGGGTGGGAGCGAGCGAGACGGCTTGCGGCGGGGACTCCTTAGATCTGCGGGGAGAGGTTCGCAGGTCGTTGAAGCGTCCCAGATGGCCTCGGCGAGAAGGCACAAATCGTTGATTTGACTTAGGTTGTGGCCCATTTTGGCCTCCTGGGGGGGCCCTAATTTAGCTCCCACTTATTTGATCGATCTCCTCCAAGATGCCCAGACAAGGCCCCCGAGGCTCCCAAAGAGGCCCGAAGGGGCGCCCAGGAGGCCCCAAAAGGCCTCGACTAGGTCCCCAAAAGGCTCCCTAGAGACCTCCAAGATGCCCTCAGAGGCTCCCCCGAGGCGACCAAGACGCTTCAAGAGTACCCTGGGACTGCCAAGAGGCCCCCCAAGACGCCCCAAGAAGCCTACAAGAAGCTGCCAAGAGACATCCGAAGAGACCCCGAGAAGTATCCAAAAGGCCTCTGGCCTTTCTGCTCTCCCTCCTCCTTCTCCTCCTCTTCCTTCTCTTCATACGCCTACTGCTCCTCCTCCTTCTCCTCCTCCTCCTGTCCCCTCCTACCTCTCCCACTATTCCTCCTCCTCCTCCTCCTCCGAATCCTCCGTATCCTCCCCCCCTGGGGTATGACGTCTTATCCAGCCCTTGATTCCTCTGCATGCTACTCCACGTCCCAGATCAAGGCAACTCCTCTGGGCATCGTTTCTGGATGGGCTGGTGGGGTTACTTTTTCAGTCAGCGGCCGCGGGCGAGCGCGCCGGCGGCGAGTCAGGTCAAAGCGGGCTACGCAGAGACGAATTAAGCAAAGGCAGCGCGAACAGGCCACGTCTAACGCAGCAAGCCGAGGCCCCACGCGGCGGCCCAGCGGCGGGCGGGTGGCAGGGGTGACTGAAACTGAGCCGAACTGCCAGCGTGCAAGTATGCAGGGCGTCGGAAGCACCAGGAAGTCAGGATGGGTCCGAACCGAAAGGGCTGGTGGGGTTACGCGAAGCGTCTAGAGTTCTGCAGGGCTCGGAGCTCCAGTGCTCTGAGGGGCTCTAGTCATAGGGAGAGGAGAGGAGGAGGAAGAGACGGCAACGATTGTAATAAAGATTAGGTCGGGCGTGTCCTCCAACAGGCGGACTTTGGACGACAAATGAGAAATATTCAAAAATACAAAAAGAATCATCCAACATAGTCAAACCAAATCGTCCACCGAGTATTTCTTACTACTTTTGAATACTCATTCCTCCTCTGAAGGTACGTGCCCGACTTGAAGCAAGGAGGGAAAGACACGGTGGAGAACGTGGAGGCCTCCTCCACAGGGCCAAAGCAGACTGGGCCAGGGGAGCGCACCGCGTCGCCGATCCGTGGACCACGTTCCCTCCGCCCTCGCCAAATCGCCGAGGCAGCGGCGCTGCTACGCGGTCCTCCGGCCCCATCCCCACCGGAGAGCCAACCGAGGCAGCGGCGCCTCCCCCGCCCGGCCCACTCGCCATCGCTCGGACGTCCATTCCCTGTGTTTTTCTGGTTTCGTGCGTGGTTTTTTCGCCAAATAATGAAGGATGCTCCTCGATGGTCCTCGCCGAAGGAAAAATCCACACGTCCGAGCGATGCCACGGCCCAAGTCCGCTCAAAAACGGCCCGAGAACCCCATGCAAGGGTCCGTCGTGGCCCGCTTTCCGAGGCGGGCCCAGCAGTGGCGACGAGAGGCCTCCAGGCGAAGGCGACCACGCCCCCGCTGACGCCCCGGCCCAACGAGCGGTGAGAGCGGGGGCCTGGGCAACATCCTGAGCCGCATTGTGTTTCGGCGGCGAGCGAGGGAGGGAAGCGAGAAGGAGAAGGCCTTCTCAGAAGGCGGCGGGGCTTCTCACAAGCCCTCGCGCCTTCCGAGAGGTGCTCTGTCTCTTCGGAGAAGGCATACAACAACTTCTCAAAGGCCAGGGGACTTCCGAGCCTTCTGAGAAGGCCCGCCCCTTCTCACTTCCCCCCCAGGCGCGCCGCCGAGTTTTACCCTTTCCCTGGTGCCCAGGGTGGGGGGCAGCAGCAAGGGTACAGATCGAACGTCGAGCGTGGAAGGAATCCTACGACGGAAAAACGCAAAACGCCAGGGAGGGGCCGCCGTTGTCTCGACTGGCCCTCCTTCGACATCTGCTCCGGTCCCGCCCGAGCAGCCTGTCAGACGGATCCCCGCGAGCTCAGCTGGCCGGCAGCGTGGGTCCGGAAGTTACCAGAAAAAAACCTCTGGGGCCAATACAGTCGGGGCGTTGACCTAAGGAACCCTAAATGAGGAACGAGGCCCCTTTGTCCCGTAAGTTAAACTTCGATGTCACATGGAAAACCTTAGGAAACCCAAAGGCAAACTGCAAAACAATCAAGGAACACCAAGCCCCTCCCCAACGGAAAGGGTTCCTTCTTCAGCGCCCCAACTGTAACAAAAATGAATTATTTGCTTGGACGGCCCAAGATCACCGGAGCCGCGTCCCTCGCCCTCATGAGGGAACCCTCACGAGAAGCACAGCAGGCAAGAGAAATCCAACCAGCCCTTTGGGCGTGAGTGGTTTAGGGAGCTCTCTCTGTTCTCAACCCCCCTTCTTCCCCTTCGGGGAGGGGTTTACCCCTCCCCCTACCCCCTCCCCCTGGACCTGGAGAGGGGGTTTCGCGGGTGGTTGGAGGGGTCTTTTTCGACTCCTGGGAGGGCTAAAAAACGACGACCCTTACGAGGATTCTGGCCCCGACGGGGGGAGGGAGATAGGCCCCTCTGCTCTTCTTTGAAGCCAAAATCATTGATTTTACTACGGTTTTGGCCCCATTTTGGCCTCCTGAGGGGGCCGCGCTCATCTTCCTTCATAGCAAAATCATTGATTTTACGAAGGTTTTGGGCTCATTTTGTCCTTCTCAGGGCGCAGCTCTCATTTGCGCTTCTGAGGAGGTCGCAAGAGGCCCCAAGATGGCCCCAAGAGGCTCCCAGGAGGCTCCCAAGAGGCCTCGAAGAGGCCCTCCAGAGGCCCCCAAGCGGCCCCAAGAGGCCTCCAAGAGGCCCCCAAGAGGTCTCCAAGAGGCCTCAAGAGGCCCCAAGAGGCCCCCAAGAGGCTCCCCAGAGGCCCCCAAGAGGCCCCCAAGAGGCCCCAAGAGGCCCACGAGGAGCCCAAGAGGCCCCACGAGGAGCCCGAACGACTCACACCAGGACGAGGGGCCCGAACGACTCACACCACGAAGAGCCCGAACGACTCACACCAGAAGGAGGTGCCCGAACGACTCACACCAGGACGAGGCGCCCGAACGACTCACACCACGAGGAGCCCGAACGACTCACACCACGACGAGGGCCCCGAACGACTCACACCACGAGGAGCCCGAACGAGTCACACCAGGAGGAGGGGCCCGAACGACTCACACCAGGACGAGGGGCCCGAACAACTCACACCACGAGAAGCCCGAACGACTCACACCAGGACGAAGAGCCCGAACGACTCACACCACGAAGAGCCCGAACGACTCACACCAGGAAGAAGGGCCCGAACGACTCACACCAGGACGAGAAACCCCAAACGACTCAAACCACGAGGAGCGCTTTCTCTCCCTCCTCCGCCTCATCCTTCTCCCGCTCCCCCCACGAGGAGGATGTACAAGGAGGCGGGAGGAAGGAGTAACAGGGGAGATATGCGGGGCCAAGCGGACACACGCCTGAAACACACGACTGTCGGCATGCTTCGCAAGAGTTGCTGTTGTGAGATGGGCTGGTGGGGATACGCGAAGCGTAAAGAATTTGCAACGCCACATGGGGGCCAAATTCACCGAGGGGCGGAAAACAAGAAATCATATTTCGCCGCCTGGGGAGATGTTGCCCGCCAAGAGAGAGGACGGGGGGGTCCTCCCCGTATACTTCTGGGGCTGACATTACCGCCGCGGTAATCGCAGGACCAGCCGCCGTGTGGAGGCCAATGACGACGACGACCCCGACCTCGACGACGACCCCGACCTCGACAACGACCCCGACGACGAGGGCGACGACGACGACGCCCGTGCTACGTCAGCGTACCTGTCTTTAGGTGCGCTTTTGTAGCACAGATTATCTCGTATCGCGATTCTCCTTCATGTATTCAATGGGGCAAAACAGGGGGCCTGCCGTGCCTTCATTGATCCTGCGAGTTCGTCCACTGCTATTCCCGAAAGAGCAGTGGCGAGGACACCGACCACAACGACAAGGAGGACAACACCGACGCCGCCCGACGGCTACGCCACTGACGACCAACGGCCATGACGCCGACGCCGCCGCAGCGGCCGACCACCACGCAGATGCTCCGACTGGGCCCTGGCAGGGGCCTTTCCACGATGGGCTATCGGGTCCTCGATCGGGGCGGGGTGGGTTATCGGCGATGCGTGGGCGACTGGGGATTGATATGAGCCTCCCTGCTTAGCCTACAGCCATCGTGCCTGAATAAGCAATGAAGGGGCTTTTCTGGTAACGCCGATTCGAAGGGGTTTCCCAGCCTCAATCTAAGGGACAACCCGAAAACCAGAAACCCTCCTGAGCCCGAAATGGTCCTTACTTCAGAGTGAGCGCGTTTTCATTTAGATTGCAAGTAAACTTGCCATCGTCTAAACGCAAGCGGTCTCCGTCCTCACTGTAACCCCCTCCTGACGTTGCCCCTGCTGAAGGGGCCTCTCCATGATGGCCGTGATGGCGGGCAGCTCGCGCGCTCTCGCCAGCCCGAAGGCGGCGGTCGCGCTGTCGGCGGGCACCGTCCTGGCGGGCGGGCGGCCGGGAAAGCCAGGAAGGCCGCCGGCCGCAGGCTGGCGGCAGGGCAGGGCGACGACTCACGGCGGCAGCGACGACCACGGCAGCGACGGCGACGACGGTGACGACGACCACGGCGGCGGCGTCACCAACGACGGCCGGCGGCGACGACGACAACGAACACGAGGACGATGACCTCCGTTGGGCGAGAGGCGCCGAGGGGAGCGCCGCGGGCCTGGCGGCGGCCACCGCCAGCAGCTGCATCAGCCGCAGGGTCTTGGGCACCTCCCGGGGGTCGGCGGCCCTCTGGGGGTGAGGGGGGGTGCCTCCGCCAGAGAAGAACGAGCATGTTATGTTTTACATTATATATATATGTGTGTTGAACATATGTTCTATGTATGTATGCATGCATGTATGTATGAATGTCTGTATGTCTGTATGTCTGTATGTCTGTATGTCTGTATGTCTGTATGTCTGTATGTCTGTATGTCTGTATGTCTGTAGGTATGTATGTAGGTAGGTAGGTAGGTAGGTAGGTAGGTAGGTAGGTAGGTAGGTAGGTAGGTATGTACGTATGTATGTATGTATGTATGTATGTATGTATGAATGAACGAATATATGCCTGTCTGTCTGCCTGCCTGCCTGCCTGCCTGCCTGCCTGTCTGTCTGTCTGTCTGTCTGTCTGTCTGTCTGTCTGTCTGTATGTCTGCCTGTCTGTCTGTCTGTCTGTCTGTAGGTAGGTAGGTAGGTAGGTAGGTAAATGTGTATGTGTACATATATATATATATATATATAGGCACGGATATTGCACACGGCAGCATCCGTGTGTATATTGCCTCTGGCGCCTCCGCGAGGGAATGCGACGAAGGAAGGGCGAGGATAGACATTCCGAGGAGGGCAGAGGGCAAGCCTAGGAGCGGTGGCGTGGCAAGGCAAGGATGCGCCGTGTCTGCCCAAAAAGGCCGGCCCGCGGGGGGGACAAGGCGCAGGGGCCGCAGCCCTCAAACGTCGCTCCTGCGCACGAAGTCGGGCCCGAGTGAACTGCAGTCCCTGGCAAACTCGTATCATATTTCGTGGATCCCCTTCGCTGATAGACATGGTGGGGGCCAGAAAATCCCTCCCGATTCCCTGCCCTTGGATCGGGTCGGGCGAAAGGGGAGGACTGCAAAGGGGGGGTTTGAGAATCAGCTCACGTAGCTGATTTTCCTGGCGCCTCCCGGCGCCGGGGGCGACTATGTTGTATCGAGGAATGGGCCCCTCGGTGGGGGCGAAACCAGCTGCATGCAGCAAATTTCGTAACCCCCCCTTTCCCAATCCCCCCCTTTCGTCCGGCCCGATTGGAGAGCAGGGGGAGGGGGGGCGCCTCCCTGACCCCTGGAAAGGGCTCGGGCGCGGCCTAACAGACCCCTGGCAAGCTGTCGCCTTCCGTGACGTCACCTTGGCCCGTCAAGGCTCCCTCCGGCCGCGTGCACACGTCTTGGGGCGAGGCGAGGCGAACTTCACGGGGTCGATGAGGCCGCCGCTGAGGGGCGCGCCCGCCCACCTGCCTGGACCCCACCTTCGGGAGGCCGGGAAACGCCGAGCCGGCCGAACGAGGCCGCCGGCCGGGCCGGGCCGGCCGACGGAGGCCAGGGCGTCTCGCGCCCCGCAGGCGGCTGGCAGAGGGGCGCTCCTGCAGGGCGAAGCGAGGACGAGCCGCTCGCACACAGATAGGAGTGATGGAGCTGCGTTTGGGGCCCGGACGGCAGGGGGGCGCCTCCTTGCCCCGGGGCGCCCGCGCCTGCTCGGGCCCCACGCGTGCGAGGAGGCCCACAAAAACACCGCGCAGGCCGAACGAGGCCGCTGGTCGGCCCGGTCGGGCTGGGCCGGGGCGACGGAGGCCGAGGCGTCTCGCGCCATGCAGGAGGCCCGGCGGGCCCGACCGGCAGCCCGTTGTCTGAGGCACCTCGTCATGAGGAACCCATGCCTCAGGACCCCATCTTCGAACCCAGGGGGGGCTCCTCCTTGCCCTTAAAGAGGAGGGGGAGGAGGAGGAGGAGGAGGAGGAGGAGGAGGAGGAGAGGAGGAGGAGGAGGAGGAGGAGGAGGAGGAGGAGGAGGGAAGAGGAGGAGGAGGAGGAGGAGGAGGAAGAGAGGACTCGACTATGCCTTGGACTCAACGTGTCGTCTGCTACTGGACAAAATTAGCACCACTCTGAGTCTAGCTGGGCGAACCCCTTCACTCTCACGTGCGCGGGTGCCACGGAGCATACTGGCACTGCACGCGCCCCACTCCCGCACACAATCAGTTAGGGGCATGCGTGCACTCGGACAAAAATCGTTTCGCTGTCTACTTCCCGCGACTGTGCCGTCTCAAGGGGGAGGACCCAGACCCCCGACGTCATGCCCCCCAGGGGTCTCGATCCCTTCGCTGGGACTGGTGTTTCATCCTCAGTCATGTTTGACGGTCCCGAGGCCCGGCGAGGGCTCCCAGAGGCCGAAAATGGCTGAACATTCTGTCGTGATTGCTTCAGGACGCGAGGGGGTCTGGGGAGGGAGGAGGGAGCTAGCGAGGAGGAGGAGGAGGAGGAGGAGGAGGAGGAGGAGGAGGGAGGCGCCTCCTTGCCCTTGAGCACCATCTCGGGGTCGAAGTCCACGGCGGCGCCTAAGGAAGCGGCGGCCGCCTCGGCGGCGCGCCGGAAGTTGGCGAGCCGGTCCTGGGGGGGCCCGCGGCGGGCGGAGGGCGCGGGGGAAGCGCCGCGGCCTGCAGGCTGCGCAATGCAAACGACACCCCAGCATGGCATCGTGGAGACATGACGGAAAATGTCTTCATATTTTCTGCCTCTGGGGGCCCTCGCTGGGCCCTGGGACCGTCAAACATCGACCTAGGATAAGAAACCGGTCCCGGGGAAAGGGTCGGGCCGTCTGAGGGGGCCACATTGGAAAAGTCAGGACGTCTCATGCCAGAGAACAGATGATAAGGATGGGTAGCCTTCCGAAGAGTACGCTTACATCCTTGCCTTTTCGGTCCATCCTGGACCACTTTCGATGGCCAACTTCGCTAGAAAAGCTTCGGCATGGGCGTCCAAGGGGCTTGCATCCTTATCGCGCATCCTTACTATCAATTTTGGCTGTATGGACTCGGCCACAAGAGACCCTCGCAAGCAGCCCCAGGCCCACGAACTCCGCCGAGCGTCTTGCCCAGGGCCTGGGTTCCTTGGCCAGGGGCTTCGGGCGGAGAATCCTAAAATTGTCATCTAATGGTTGTAATATTGAGATGAGCACACGTCAAGGCGCACCACGAAGCGTCCTGGCAAGCAGGGTTCGGGTGCCCTGAGGAAGCGTCCTTGCAGGTACCGTCGGACGCTCCAGCGAAGCGTCCTGGCAAAAGCTTCCAGGCACCCCAAGGAGGCGTCCTGGCGACAAGTACGGCCTGATTCCTTACGCGCTTCTGCTGCCGCTTCGACTTCCCCGAGAGAGATGAGTCATGCAGCATGCTCAGTGCGGTCGGCTTCAAATGCGGATCGGCGTCATGGAAGCAAACAACAATTGGCAAAATCTGCCTCTCTCTCTTTGACTCTCTCTCTCTCTCTTGTTCTGCTTATCCCTGTCTGGCAAAATTATGAATGGCTGCTCTTCCCGTACTTCCTCACGTAGAATCACAGCAGAAGGGCTTTGCCAATGTGCCGCCCCTGGCGGCTCTCACCGGGTCTCATTACCTTTCGCTCTCCTCCCTAATCCATCCTCTTCTCCTTCCCCCCTCCCACTCCTCCCTCTTTCGTCTCCCTCCTCCATCTTCCCTCCCCCTCCCTTCTCCTCCCTCGGCGACGCCGACGCCGACGCCACCGACGCCGCTGAAGTCGACGCCGACACCGACGCTGTCGCCGACGGCAACGGGTCCTCGCGCGCCTCGGGCCACTCCCTGTCGAGGTCCGGCGGGAAGCCGGTGGCGTCCCTGCGGGGGAGGCATCCCCTCCCCATCCCCCCCCTCCCCCTCCTCCCCCTCCTCCTCCTCCTCCTCCTCCTCCTCCTCCTCCTCCTTCTCCTCCTCCTCCTCCCCCTCCTCGTTTTCCCCCCTCCCCCTCCTCCTTCCTCCTTCCTATCCTTTTCCATGTGAACAACTCCTCCCTATCGCACCCCGTGGCCAGTCGGAAGGGCGGGCTGGGCGTTTCGCCTGAGCCTACAGATTAAAAGCTGAAAACAGTTTCACACATGGAGGGCGGGCCGTTTTCAAAATGTGGCTCTCGCCTGAGCGCCGCGCACATGTATGTTAACAAGTTGCAGGAATTTCAAGGAAGGTGGGTCAATCTCAACATGTGGCTCTAGCATTAGCGACGCGCACCTTCTTTTGAAACATTTGCAAAAGGTTTAACGCATTGAACGCGGGTCTTTTCAAAATGTGGCTCTCGCCTGAGCGCAGCGCACGTTCGTCTTCAACATTGCAAGAGCTTCCCGGATTGAGGGCGGGTCGTTTAACAGATGTGGCTATCGCCCTAGCGCCGCGCACATTCGTGCCCAAATTTGCAAGAGCCTCCCGGATTGAAGGCGGGTCGTTTTCAAAATGTGGTTCTAGCCTTAGCACCACCCACATTCGATCTAACAAATTGCAAAGAGGTTCGCTGGCTGCCATGATTAACGTCCCAGAAATGGTGTAGGAACGACTCAGGATTGTCAGGGCACAACAGTTAAGTTGATTCGCGGTTTGGAAGTCCCAGAAATGGCGTCCTGTCACGATTCAGGATCGCCAAGACGCAACAGTCAGGTTAACCCGTGGTGTTGAAGTCCTGACAACGGTGTTTTGGCACGCTTCAGGATTTTCAAAGGTTCTTCCCCAACGGGGCATTTCGCTGTAAAACTTAACCCCAGTAGGGGCTTATGAAGAGGGAGCGTGGAGGGATGGAGTCTTCAAACAACGATGAGTCTTGGGTTTGTACTGGTCCTCCCACGTTTTCCTCGCTTCTCCCTCTTCCCTCCTCCCTCCTCCTCTTTCTCCTCTCCTCCACTCCCTCCTCCTCCTCCTCCTCCTCCTCCTCCTCCTTCTCCTCCCTCTCCTCATCCTCGCTCCTCCCCCCTCATCCTCCTCGCTCCTCCCTCCTCCTCCCCCCTCCTCCCCCTCCTCCTCCTCCTGCTCCTCCTCCTCCTCCGCCTCCTCCTCCTGCTGAGTCCAAGAGCAGACGCGATTGGACTGCGACGGCCGTTGCCCGCGCTGCCGAGAGGAGGGCGAGGCAGTGTTTCATCGGACATGGGGGTGCTCGAAGCACTCGAGCTGCCCGGTGTTCAGCGTGACAGACAGTATGATCAGCGAGGCCGTCGCACAACAGAACATGTACGACAGCTAGTGGACTCGGGGACTGACCCCGCAATCATGGTCAAGGGTAACCCCTACCGCGCAGACCTACGACTGGACCACCCAAGGCATCGACACCTTCGCGCCAGGATGCCAACCAACTTACATCTTCGGCGACAACAGCGGCGGTGCGAACACAGCTGCAGCAAGCATTAGACGAGTGGGAGTTTCAAATGCGAGGTCCTACACTTGGACGCAAATGACACGGAACTGCAGCTTGCGGTGTGGGGACCACTGCCTGGGAACATGCAAGCAGTGGTGAGGGGCGAGCTGCTCGCCCTCCTCGCACTGCAGAGGACCACGCATGACACCATCTACGTTATCGACTGTGAGGGAGTGCATTTGAACTTCTACAACGGCCACCACACAGACCCAACAGGGCCCGACGCCAACCTCAGGCCTCATATCGGCCAACTGATGCGACAATGGCGCGGGGATTTCGTTGTGTTGCCCGTGCGCTCCCATCACGCTGGAGAAAGCATCATCAAAGGCCAGGCGCTGCGGTCCATGGTATGTGGCAACACTATTGCCGACGAGCTCGCTGCAGCGTCCGCAGAGAACCAGCGAGTTGGCAAGCAGTTTCGATCAAATGCGCAAATAGTTGAGAATGAAGATGTAGTATGCTTGCGGCTCCTGAGTCCCCTCTCGAGGCAGTAGAGTTTGCGACAGCCCAGAATGCAGCCGCCTAGAATGCCTGTGCAGGTAGTCCCCGACAACCTTGACGCACCAGAGTCCAACCTGCTAGAGCCTCTGCCCGCTTGGCTGCTTTCGCGTCTGCCCATAAGTTGGACGAGTCAGGATGCAAGTGCACAGTATATTGTAACCCAGTCAAATAAGCAACGTGGGCTGGTGAAGCCATACCCATAGCGCCACGCGATCAGACAGAGTCTACAGAGTCTCCTCCTTCTCACTGTCCTCGCCCAACCTAATCTCCTCGCCACAAATCCGCATCATCATCGTCATCGGAACCATCGTCAGCACAACAGAACCGCCATGCTCATCATTGGCAACATCATCATCATAATCAGCACAATCAGCATCATCAGCAGCATCAGCATCATCAGCATCATCAACACCAGCATCAACATCATCAGCATCAGCAACATCATCATCAGCTGCAGCATCGACACCAACATCATCACCATCATCAGCATCATCATCGTACTGGTCATCGAATTCATTAGTATCATCATGCCCTCCTCATTAGCCGCATCGTTTTCATCTCCACCATCGTCACCATCACCATCATCAACACAGCACACTCATCTACAACACCGTCACCATCACCGTCACCATTATCATCGTCATCAGCATCATCATAATCATAATCAGCATCATCGTCAGTTTCATCAACATCATCACATAGCATCATCTCCAGCATGGCAAAACAAACACCATAATAATCACATGAAATAGCACCATTATCATTCACACCATGGACATCATATCATCCTGATCACTGTCACCATCATCATCATCATCATCAGCAGCAGCATCATCATCATCGTCATCGGCACAATCATCATCATCATCACCACCACCACCATCATTAACATAATTGTCGTCACCAGCATCAGCATCATCATGTAAACATCATCATGGTCATCGTAGTAATCATACCATCACCAGCACCATCATCGGCATCATCAGCAGCATCATCATCGCCACCCTTACTACAAGCAGCAACACAAGCGTCGTTATCACCAGGACCGTCGTCAGTATCGCGATTGTCATCATCAGCATCATCAAACTCATGATCAGCAGCATCAGCATCATCAGCAACATCATCATCGTCATCACCATACTTTGGCGAGAGCAACCAAACACTAAGGACAAACGCCTTTGCTGGAAGTGTCTAGAGCGTTTTGAGGTGGAGGGGGTTTGATAACCATGAGGGAGCTTAGGCCCTGGCGCGGGGGCATGCGGAAGTTGGGCGGTCACTCGGGAACTTCGGATGGGCATGGGGAAGTTCGAGAGAGATCTGAACCATTGAGTGGGGCAAAAATCAACAGGAGGAAAATTGGGCGAACACGTGGAAGGATGAGGATGTTGGACGAGCGTTTGGGAGCCTCTGACCCTCTCCAGCGAAGGCCGGGGCCTGTTCGGCTGAGGCTGGGAAGCTCTGGGGCCCTTCTGGCTCAGGCTGGAGGGCTGATTACGAGTATCTTCCAGCGAGGGCCGGGAAGCTCCAGAGCCCGCGAGCCAGGAAGCCGGGGCGTGCTGGCCCACGCAAGCAAGGCTCCATGGGCCCTTCTGGCAAAAGCTTGCAGACTGCATGTTAGATGCTCATTCTGGGGACCTTCCTGCAGTCACTCGCTCCACTCGTGCGTCGAAGCTGCGTCGAACCTGAGTCGAACATGAGTCGAACCTGAGTCGAATCTGAGTCGAACCTGAGTCGAACTTGAGTCGAACTTGAGTCGAACCTGCGTCGAACAGATCCATTAGGTGGCCCCCAGGAAGGTCCCCAAAACGAGCATCGAATGCATGGGTCCTCTCGGGCTGGGGGGCTCAAGCCACCCCCCTCGGCCAGGGCCCAGAAGCTGCGGAGGCATCCCGGGAAGGACCTTCCAACTACTGCAGGGATGCTCCAGGGCCCGTCCTGGCCGAGGCTGGGAAACTACGCGGATCTTCTGGACAAGGCTGGAGGGCTCTGGGGCCATTCTGGCTGGGGCTGGAAGATCCAGGGCCCCTCCAGCTAAGGCTGCGGGGCTTGGTGGGCCCTTCCAGCTCAGGCGGGACTTCATGGGCCCTTCCAGCTAGGGCTTGGGAGGCCCAGCGCCTTTCTGAATTCCCCCGCCTCCTCTCCAACTTCTCCACGCGTATCTTAATCTTCGCTATACTCCCACGTCCGCGCGCCGATTCAACCCTCCCCACGCCCATTCAACTTTCCCCATGCACAACCATGTTTCCCCGTGGTCACCGAACCTCCCCCGCGCTCGCCACTTTCGCCGCGCTCGCGCACACTGCTACACTCCGACACGCAATCCACCATCTTCACCATCGCAAGCCAACTTCCGTCATGGCCTTCCATACCTGGTTTGCATGTTTGCCCCAAACAAGGCATAAATGGAGGGTGCATTTCGTAAACTCATAACTATCATATGCATCTTCACCGTCATCTGGCTCGGCAGCTTCAGAATTACATTCAGCACATCATCGTCACCGTCGGACTCGTCATTGCCATCATCATCATCATCATCATCATCATCATCATCATCATCATCATCATCATCATCATCATCATCATCATCATCATCATCACCATAATTAGTATTAGTATTATTAATAATAATACCATTTATTATCAGTATCATTATTGTTGATATTAGTATTACTATTATTAGTATTATCATTATTATTATTAATCGTATTATTATCGCCACAATTAGCATCATCAGCATCAACACAACCACGATCAGCATCATCATCGTCGTCGTCATCACCACCACCACCATCACCATCATCACCATCATCACCATCACCACCACCATCACCATCACCATCATCATCATCATCATCATCATCATCAACATCATCGTCATCGTCATCGTCACCATCATCATCAACATCATCATCATTATCAGCATCATCATCATCAGCATCATCATCACCATAATTAGTACTAGTATTATTAATAATAATACCATTCATTATCAGTATCATTATTATTGATATTAGTATTACTATTATTAGTATTATCATTATTATTATTAATCGTATTATTATCGCCACAATTAGCATCATCAGCATCAACACAGCCACGATCAGCATCATCATCGTCGTCGTCATCACCACCACCACCATCACCATCATCACCATCATCACCATCACCACCACCATCACCATCACCATCATCATCATCAACATCATCCTCATCGTCATCGTCACCATCATCATCAACATCATCATCATTATCAGCATCATCATCATCAGCATCATCATCATTATATCATCATCATCCTCATCCTCATCAGCATCAGCATCATCATCATCGTCATCATCATCATAATCATCATCATCATCATCAACAACATCCTGCTCCTCGGGCAGCAGCAGCAGCAGCCGCCGCAACATCATCGAAATTATCTCATCCTCGTCAACATCATCAACACTACCATTACCTTCGCTCACCACCCACCCGCTCCCCTTCTCGTCCTCCCACTCCCCGTCCCTCGCCTCGCTCCTCCCATCCCCCTCCCAAGGCAAGATGCACCCCTCCGCCCCCCCCAACACACACAGGCTGCCCGATGCCACGTGGCCGTCCAAAAGCGGGCGGCATCTGATCGCAGATCGATCGGATCGCTTGCGCAGTCGAGCAGACCGACTCGAACCCAATCCGTGCAGCATGGGAGACGCCCGTGAGGTGCATCATCTAATGGATCGATGATCCACCTCAGACATCTAGTTAAGCGCATCAACAAACCGAGGGACGACGTGGAAAAAACCCTGAATGCTAGGACTCGACCACGCGGCGTGTGGTCAAATTAGAGGAACAACAAACAGCATAAACATACATGTTTGAAGGTTCGCGCGGATTTTTTTGATCCGCGCTGGGCCCCTTCCTGGCGCGCGGAGCGCGCCAAGGGCGGCGCCGGAGGCGCCGCCAGGGGGGGCCCAGGCGCCGATCCAAGAGATCAGGGCGAACCGTCAAAAATTTATGTTTATGCTGCTTCGTCGTCTTCTTTTTCCAATACTATGACTCGACCACGCGGCGTGCGGACGAGCGGCGGCGGGAAACGAGCCGGGCAACCGGTGACCCCACAGGAAGAGAAAGCCTGCGGCAAGTGCAGGGCGTGCGGAGGAGGCAGAAGTCGAGACCTGCACTCCCGTGAGGGGTCACGCTACGGGGGGGAACCAGCTCAGGCAGGGATCGCCCTGAACAGTGTTTTTCGGCTTTCCTTGGCTGTCGGGCTCCCTAGTTTTGCCTCAGACCCGCCTCTGCTGCAAAACGACGTCGAAACAAGAAACGGCCCACGAACTCGCCAGAACACCGTGCAGGTCGACCCCTGAGCTTGGGGGGGGAATCCTCGAGCTGGAATCGGCGATAATACCTATACGACCACCCTTCGGGTGATAAGGAGGTTCGGGGGGGGGAACCAACGTCTCACTCAATCGGTCTCACTATCGGTCTCACTATCGATCTCACTATCGATCTCACTATCGGTCTCGCTCGATCGATCACACTCGATCGATTTCACAATCGACCTCACTCGATCTATATCATTCGCTCGATCTCACAAGGGACCTGACTATCGATATCACAATCGTCATCACAATCGATCTCGCATTCGGTCTCAAGATCGGTCTCACTATCGATATCACAATCGATCTCACAATCAACGTCATCATCGTCATCGACAACAACATCACCATCATCATCATCATCATCAACATCATCATCGGGACACAATCATCATCATGTCATCATCATCGTTAACAACAACATCATCATCATCATCTCATCATCATCAATCGGGGCACCATCATCATCATCAACAGCAACATCATCATCGAGCATATCATCATCATTATCACCATCGGGGGGCCATCATCGTCATCACTAGCATCATCACCATCATAATAATCATCATCATCATCATCATCATCATCATCATCATCATCATCATCATCATCATCATCACCAGGACAGCATAATCAGCATCATCACCATCATTATCAACATCATCGTCGGAGCACAATCATCATCATCATCATCATCATCATCATCATCATCATCATCATCATCATCATCATCATCATCATCTGCATCGTCATCTCATCATCATCATCAACAACATCGTCATCACCATAAGCATCATCATCGGGACACCAGCATCGTCAACATCATCATCATCATCAACATACTCATCATGACCACCATCATCATCATCGGGACACCGTCATCATCATCGATATCAGCAACATCATCATCATCATCGGGACATCATCATCATCAGCATCATCATCATCATCATCATCATCATCTCATCATCATCATCATCATCATCATCATCATCATCACCGGGACACCATGATCATCACCATCATCATCAGCAACATCACCATTATCAGCATCCTTCCCATCAACATCATCGGGACACCATGATCATCACCATCAGCATCATCACCATCATCACTGTCATCATCATCATCATCATCATCATCATCATCATCATCATCATTATTATCATCAACGTTATCATCATCGGGACACCAGCGGGACACCGGCGGGACACCGGCGGGACACCGCGGGCCCCCGGCCGCCCGGAAGGGAGACATTTGGTCCGGCCGCGCCTCAGCCACAGGGGACACCAGCGGGACACCGGCGGGACACCGCGGGCCCCTGGCCGCCCGAAGGGAGACATTTGGTCCGGCCGCGCCTCAGCCACAGGAGACTTTCCTCTCGCCCGCCCACGCAGCTTCGCCTCGCCCGCACGCACGGCACGCACCAACACGAAACCGAAATCGATTTCCCGGTAGGGGGGCTCTCCGTTCCACTTCGATCTCACCCCCTCACCTCCGACGTCGCCAGCAGCTCACGAGAACTGACCTGGCCCTCCGCTGGCGAAGCCGCACGCTCCTGGGCGGGGTGCGCTGCCGGACCCCCCGTCGGCCACGAGTGGGCGATGGGGGTCGATGCATCCCCCCCTTGAGCCTGCCCCCCCCCCTCTGGGTTCTCCCCTGAGTTGAGGGATGAAAAAACGACCCTACCCTGGGTTACAAGTGCGTGGTCTGTAAACCTCCTGGGAACCCCCAAAGCCTAGAGACGCCAGGACGCGGCACATCACGCAGGGTTTACCCTGTCAGCCCACCGGAGTTTCAGCGCACAGCGCCTCGTAAACCAGGGTAGGGGCGTTTGTTATGCCCTTGACTGAAGGAAGACCCGCGTCCCCCCCCATGTCAACCCCACTTCTGCTCCTCGGGCTTGGAGCAGCACAGCAAAACACAGAAACGGTGATCCGATCTCTGCGGCGCGAAACGGCGTCCCGGGAGCGCGTGCGCGGGCGCGCTTGGGCGCACAGTCAAGTCGCATAGCAAGGATGGGCCAGTCTCCAAGGCTACCCTTGGCATCCTTACCCCGTTCGGCCCATCCTTGGCGACTTTCGCTGGCTAGCCCCGTTCGAAAACGCCAACATGGCCCTCCAAGGCCCTTGCATTGATGGGCAACGATAAAGGGGGACTGGCATAGGGGGGGAACGCATCGACATGGAATCGGCGATATATCGCAGATAGATCGGCGATAGGCCTCCGATGGTGAATCCGCACGTTCCTGGGCAGGTTGGGGCTATCGGGCACCTAATTATCGGCGATCAGTGGGCGATTAAGGGGTCGATGCATGCCCCCCCGGTGCCTATCCCCCGCGAGAGTTGCCCCCGATGCATCCTTACCGCGTATCCTTACTATGCGACTTGTAAGGCTACCTACCCCTACCTCCCACGATTTCTGAGGGGGAGGGCGGGGTTCACTTCGTTCGGGAGCTCCCGAGCAAAGTGAACCCCACCCTCCCCCCCAGAAATCGTGGGGGGTAGGGGTAGGGTTCGCATGACACACAAATAAATGCACACAAATAAAAAAGATTCCCCATATTGTCCTATATTTTCTGGGTTTTTGTCTTCCCCCCCACTCCCTATATTTTCCCATACTTTCTGGGGAATCGAGGATTAATTGTGTTGTGTGTGTGTGAGTGTTTTTTCCCTCCTGAGTATCCTTACTATGCGACTTGTAAGGCGGCGGCGCCGCCTCACCGCGGAGGCAACGTCCCAGACGAACTTGGGCGGCGGCCGCGCCAGCAGCTCGGAGGCGGACTTGCGCGTCTTGCCGCCGCAGAGGACCTGGTGCCCCCCCGGGGGGAGCCACGGGCCCTGCCCGCGGTCGAGAGATGACAGCGGTGTCACGATGCGACGAGCTCAGGATGCGGTCGGGGTTGATTGGAAGGCAGACAATCCACCCCATGATAATCACCCCGACAAGCAAAGCCGTTTAGTGAACGCGCCCAGGAAGGAACCGAACAGGGCAGGGCTGTTTAGCAAACGCCCAGGGCCGTTTGATAAACGCCAACGGTCGGGTCCCGGAAGTCATGCATCCCTTGACTGATTGGATGGGGAAAAACGAAAGGTACGCAAGACCCTTCCGAGGGCCCCATTGCCACAGGAATGTAAGGAGGTATGGGTCGCGAAGCACACGACACAAGGGTACCCTTGATGTGGCAGGGTCGACCCACTAATCCGCCTCGACCGTACGTTCCAGGAGCTCCAGGGCATCTAGAGGCCCCCGTTTCTGGAGCCCGCATGGGACATGCGGCGACATTGGGAAACCGGGCAATCCTGGAACGCAACATTATCACGACGTCTTCGGGGGCGGACGGAATCCCCCTCTAGCGGCAGAACCTTTGGGGAGGTCGACCCGGGACCAGACCCGGCGGGCGCAGGCCCGTGAAAAAATGCTGGGCGATAGGGCGAGAATGCTGTCATGATCAGCACCTGGTGGCCCTCGTCTTTGCAGCCCGTGTGGAACGCTCGGGGATCCGCCGGCCTCCTTGTGGGGCCACCAGGCTGCGGGGGCTGGGCTTGCTGTTCCCTGCTCCTGCTCAGGTCGCAAGTCTCCCATGTCATCGTCCTACTTGCTACTCCCCACTGTGAATGAGCGCCCCAAAACCACCCTTTCACCACGCCCTCCTGGTGGTCTCAGAAGTCCCGGGGGGGCCGTGGGCAAGGAAAAATGCATGAGACTCGCGCCTCCTCCCCCACACCCAGTCGTCCGACGCCTCGCGCTGAGCTGACGGGATGGGGGAGCGGGGGGGGGGAGTGCCATAAGGATAGCGATGAGGGTACTCGGCCGAGTCGGAAGATCTCGTGCGGAGAAAGGCGGAGAGACTGAGGTCACCTATGGGGGCGGGGGGGGGGGGGGGGCAAGGGGGGACTGGGGGGGCAGGAGCTGTCCCGGGGGATCGGGGGGGGGAGGGGGGGGGGGGGCCGGCGAAGGGACTCGGGGGCAGAGGAAGGGGGCTCTATAGCGGCTGAGGGGGTTGGGGGGGAGGGGGGGTGGCGAGGGCAGGGGAGTGCTGGGGGCGGGGGGGGGCCCGAGGAAGACGGCAACGCGAGGGAGAAGCAGGGACGAGGCAATGGGGAGGGGCAGGGCAGGGGCGGGGAGGCACGTGGGCGAACGCGGAAAACGCGCACCTGCAGCAGAAGAGGCAGGCTCGACCGCACGGGCGAGCGCGCGCGAGCGAGCGCTGGGGCTGCTGGGCGGGGGCCGGGCCTCGAGCTGTATGAGCTGGCCCAGCAGCGCCTCTGTGGACTCGGGCGTGTCCATGCAGTCGGACGGCTCGCCGCGCGGGTGGGCCCAGCGGGGGGGGGAACGTATCCACAACCACCGCCTGGAGAGTCGACCTTCGGGGGCCTCGGCAGGCAAAGGCTCGCTGGGACTTACGAGGAGAGAGCGCTGGGGCGAGAGGGTGCGTTGCAGCATCGCTGATGCATACCTGTTGGACTACCTCTGCCCATTCTTGTCCTCCTCTGCCTCCTCGGATTCCTCCTGCTCCTCTCTCCATGACCCACGCGGATCCATGCTCTCGAACTGCCAGACCCCGGACCGCTCGACCCCTTCCCTTATTAGTGGCAGCTGGCCTCGCACCCCGGGCCGCTCTCCGACGAGCCCCGAGGGGCCGCAACGGCAAGTCGTGACGGCGTGCGCTCTCCGCCTGCTGCTGGAGCCCGACGTGTGCCCAGCGCGGCACGGAGAAGAGGCTCGGTGAACAGCTGCCTACACACCGGGTCCGATCCTGTTGGTTGAGCCTCTCGTATTTCGCCGCCCTGAGCACCTGGTGGCCAAGGATGCGAGGGGGGACGATAGAGGTGGACCCGTTCTGGAGGGGAAGCATCCAGCTGGAACCTGCGAGGCATCGTCGCTGAATCTGCGATGGGCCCCCGATTGCGGATCCGTACGACCCCTGGCGGGAGGGGCTATCACAGACGAACAAACAACGGTATAAACAAAGTAAACTTTTGGAGGTCCGCGCTGATTTCCTGGATCGGCGTTGGAGCCCCCTCCCTGGCGTGCGGAGCGCGCCAGGGGCGGCGCCAGCGGCGCCGCCGAGGGGTCCCGGGGCAGATCCAAGAAATCCGCGAAGAGCGCCGAAAGTGTATGGTTACGGTGTTTTGCCTTCTTCGATATCAGGCCCCGATTGGCGATGAATGGGCGTTGCATTTCCCCCTCTGACCCTAATCATCCCCACCGGTGATCCTCGTCGTCCGGTCTTCAGGTCATATGCCTCGGGTCCTGGGCGGCCGTCCAGGACGATCTGGATCCCCCGGGCTCGATCCTGTTCAACCTCGAGCCCGAAACACGTTCTCCGTGTCCCCGAGGATGGCGAAATGCTGGCCGCACTCGATATCGCTCGAGCCAGAAGATGCCTGGAACCCCCTCCTATACTCCTACTTTCTTACAATCCGCTCAGTTTGTTTGTTTGACAGCTGTTCACGACGCCATCACCAAATTTACAGACGCGAAACGTAGAAGCTCGCTGGCAAGCGATTATTATGCCAGTCCCTTTCTGAATCTTGTTAGCGCACCGAAGGGACTTACTAACTCACCAAGCGCGCCGTCGCAAAAACAAGTATCACCAACTCTAGTATTTCGCATCTAGGGCATTGTGAGTCGGCACCGTCCAAATATTAGCTTGCGACAGCAAGAACTTGGCACTAGAGGTGAGCTCGATGATCCTTAGATCGTGCATCAGCGCCGACGTGCGTTCGTCCACCGAAGCACTTCAACACGACGCAGGCGGCGTCGGGAGGGCCGACACAGGCTGCGCGCAATCGGCGGAGGGTGAACACACGTTGGGCTCACACACTTTCGTCGCAGCAGCGAGCCCTCGCCGAATCTAAGGGCAGACGCGGGACGCACGTGGCCGAGGTGGGCGCGGCTGGCGGCGGGACAAGCAAGGGCGCGCGCGGGAAGTGGGAGGAACACGCTCAGAGCGTGACGTTCTTGTGCGTGAGCACCGGAGCGCGTGCACACCGCGGAGGCGAAAGTCGAAGGAACACTGGGCTCGCACACGTCTCTCGGGAGACCGAAAAGGTACGGATAGCGATGCTCGCCAGACCTCTCCCGGGGTGCGTTCTGACCAGGATCTCGAGGCGAGTCCACAAGTGGCCACGAGAGCCCCCCCCAGAGGCCCACAAGAGCGAAAACGAGGGAAGGGTAGCGGCATCGGTACCTGATCTTTGGATGTCGGTGTGTGACGCTGACACCGCGGGGATCGATCGACCTTGAACGATCGGCCGATCCCGAAACTTCGGATCGTTCGACACCGACCCACTGTGGGTCGGGTCGCCGGCGGCGTTCAACGTTGAACGACGGCGGCGGAGTCGCCGACGGTAGTAGGGGGCCACATGTGAACCCTACCCCTACCCCCCACGGTTTCTGAGGGGGAGGGTGGGGTTCACTTCGCTCGGGAGCTCCCGAACGAAGTGAACTCCACCCTCCCCCTCAGAAATCGTGGGGGGTAGGGGTAGGGTTCACATGTGGCCCCCTAGACGGTCGACACACGCAGCGAACGTGCCTCTTCCTCCTCCGAGTCCTAAGGATCACCCCGAGGCCGGCCAGAGGAGGGACGGCGCAGACGGCGGGGCAGCGACGGCCCCGCGCCTCGTACTGCCGCAGCGGCTTCTGCGGCATGCCTGCGCCGCGGGCTTGGCGGGGCCCCTCCTCCTCCCGGGACCGCTTTTGGGCGACTCGAGGGAAGGAGGAGGAGGAGGAGGAGGCGGCGGAGGCGGAGGAGGAGGAGGAGGCAGGAGGAGGGAGGAGGAGAAGAAACTAGAATTGCGGGGGTTGGAAGCTGCACGAGAGACAGCATGGCGGCAATATGATGTAGATGTCGGAGCTTTTACTCTTCATACGATATATAGATGTGCGTCGAGGAGGAGGAGGTGGAGGAGGAGGATCGCACGCCACTGAGGGGAAAGAGAGAGAGAGAGAGAACGTTTGACAGTCCGAAAAGACACAGGGGGGGCACCCGAGTGGATCTTTTTGTCACCCTGGCAGAACGGCCGAAGACCTGCCTGGGGCCAACGACAGGGCCCCCCCCGGGATATTCAACTGTCTGATTCTTCACCGAGTCGCTCTTCTTCGGCACGGTCGAGACGCTCTCCCAAGGCTATTGCTTCGAGCTCATTCAGCCCAAACTGCTGGAGGCAGTCCGCAAGGCAAACCGAAGACTCTCGGCCCGCATCGGGCCTCGAAAAGGTACCTCTTTGCAGGGCCCCTGAGACCGTTTCGAGCCCCCCGAAGAGCAGGAGAAGGAGGAGGAGGAGGAGGAGGAGGAGGAGGAGAAGGGACGAGAGAAACGATGATCGAGGGAGGAGGAGGAGGAGGAGGAGGAGGAGGAGGAGGAGGAGGGACGAACGGAACGAGGATCGCAGGACTTGGAGGAGGAGGGGGAAAGGCAGGAGAGAGCCTAGGATCGAATCGGAGTCAGGATGGTCCCTGGAGAGGAGCAGGCAGGAGAGCAGGACCAGCGGCAGGAGGCCCTGCGAGAGCCCAGCGGTGGCGCCAGAGCGCCGAGACAAATTGCCAAGCGAGGGGGAAGGAGGGAAGTGGGGGGGGATGCGAGGACCGCCGAAGATCGAGGGGGCTTGGATCGTTGCTGAGAGAGAGAGAGAGAGAGAGAGAAAAAAAAAAAAAGAGAGAGAGAGAGAGAGGGCAGGGGGGCGTCTCGAGAAGCTTTGTAAGAGGCTTCTGGTTGCAATCTGTCACAGTCAAGCGTTTGATGAGTTTGAAGAATAAGGCTCGTACACTGAGCTCCACATGGTGGCAATCCAGCCCTGTCCAGCGGCTGCCATCTGGCCGAGGTAGCTCTTGATCCACAGAAGCCTGTGGCTGTAGTCGGCCCTGGTCTTCCCGCCCCGCCCTCCCCACGCCTGCGCTCCGCACGCCCACCCCCCTCCCATCGCCTCCGCTCCCCTCCCCTCCCCTCACCTCCCCTCGACGGGTCGCCTTTCGGCAGGGCCGCCAGGCGAGGATCCCTCATGAAGGTCTCCAGCTCGTTGCAGTCCTCGGCCAGGGCCTCCGCGGTGGCGATGTCGTCCCCGCCGTCGGCTATGAAACTCCTGCCCCCGGCCGCAGGATCAGCCAGCATCGACCCGCCAAATCGGATCGGATCGGACCGAGCATTGAACCGGCCCGTGCAAGCACCGGTCTGGAATCGAAACCAGATCGAATCGGCTGTGCCATGCTTGCGCAACCACGCTGTGCAGGCATCTGCTCGACTCGGATCGCCAGGACAAAATCAACACCGAATGAGACCATGAGGCCGAGATCGATAGCGGTCGGATCGAAATGGACCCCGAGCACGCGAGGTGGGGCTTACCCGCCACCAGCGCCTGGAGCACCGACCTTCGGGGCCTCGGCAGGCGGTGAATGTGTGGACCAGTGAGGCCCTGGGGAAGCCAACTACGAACATCCACGTCAGCCGCCTGCCGACGCACCCAGAGACCGATCCCTCAGGCGATGGTGATGGACAACCTTCATTCCCGCCTCAGAGAGCCGCGAGCATTGGGGAACGAAGGAGGTCCGCGCGGATTCCTCGGATCGGCGGTGAGCGCTCGGATCGGCGGTGCCCCCCGCTCCCTGGCGCGCGGAGCGCGCCAGGCGTGCCGCCGGAGTCGCCGCCAGGGGGGTCCAGCGTCGATACAAGGAATGAGCGCGGACCTCCGAAAATATTATGTTTCTGCTACTCCCCGGACCACTCCCAGGGAGTGTTCTGACCAGGATTTCAAGGTGAATCCAGCGGTGGCGAGGGCCTCCTCGGAGGCCCAAAACACGGGCGAAAGGTAGCGATATGGTTACGGCAGGTTCGCGTCGTGTCGACCCCGGCGTTGGGTTGTGACACCGCGGGGATCGTTCAACCTTGAACGATCGGCTGTTTCCGAAACGCAGGATCGTTCAACATCGACCGATTCTGGGTCGACCGCGGCGCTCAACCTTGAACGCCGGCAGCGGGGACGCCGCCGGTCGCCACGACGCTAACCTGCCATACCTTCGACTCTTTCCTCTTTTTCCTTCATCGGAGCCTAAGCCAGCACGCTGACAGCCGAACGCCATAGGCCAGAACGTGCGCCGACGCCGCAACAGCCTCGTCGAGAGCGATGGTGTCGGCTTCAGATACCTGCTCCTCCTCTGATCCTGAACTTCTCCTCGATCATGAACTTCTCATCCTCCTCGAGCTTCAGATACCTGGAGCTTCTCCTGAGATCATGAACTTCTCTCCTCCCCCTCTCCTGAGATCGTGAACTTCTCCTCGAGCTTCAGATACCTCCTCTGCTCCTGAAACTTCTCCTCGAAACATCGAGCCGACCGCTCGCTGGGGCCGTGCCCGCGCGACAGGAGCGCCGGCCGGCGACGGGCGCGGCCGCGGCAGCAGCCCGACAGGTGCTGCGCGCGCCCCCGGCGGGCGGGCAGCCCGCCGGGCCGCCGGGGCAGAGGCTGCACGTCTGGACGGCCTCCCTCCTCCGTCCTCCTCCTCCGTCCTCCTCCTCCTCCGCCTCCTCTTCCTCCTCAATCTCCTCCTCCTCCTCCTCCTCCTCCTCCTCCTCCTCCTCCTCCTCCTCCTCCTCCTCCTCCTCCTCCTCTTCCGCAGCAGCAGCGGCAGCAGCGGCAGCAGCTGGCAGCAGCTGGCAGCAGCCGCCCTCCCCTCTCCTGCCTCCGCCATTTCTCTGCCTTTCGAAGAGCTCCTCCCCGTCGCGCCCCGAGGCTGGTCGAATGTGAGCGGGCCCAGCGTTGCGCCAGAGACTTCCTCCCATTTATGATCCTGAAGCTTGAAGTTTGCTAAAGCTTCGCGGATGCAGTGCGGGCCGATTTTAGAAACCTGCACTCGCCTTCTCGCCGCACGCGCTCACTAAAGAATGCAAGAGCTGAACGGACTGAGAGCGGGCCGTTTTCACAATGTGGTTCTCGCCTTGGCGCCGCGCACACTCGTCGTAAATTGTTGTAAGAGCTTCACGGGTTCAAGGCGGGCCGTTTTCAAAATGTGGCTCTCGCTGTGGCGGCGCGCACATGCCTCCGAACATTTTGCAAGAATTGAACGGATTTAAAGCGGGTGGTTTTCAAAATGTGGTTCTCGCCTCGGCACCGCGCACACTCGTCCTAAACATTTTCGATTAACGGATTGAGCGCTGGCCGTTATCAACATATGGCTCTCGACTTCGCGCCGCGCACACTCGTCTTCAGAAATTCAAAGAATGTCACGGATTCCCGTGGCTAACGTAATTACCAGAAATGGCGTTGGAACGATCCAGGACTGTCAAGGCGAAACAGTTACGTTGATTCGCGGTGTTGGCATCCCAGGAATGGTGTTCTCCCACTAGTCACAATCGTCAGGATGCAACAGTCAAGTTGACTCTTGGCTTTGAAGTTCCGAGAACGGTGTTTTGGCACGCTTCAGGATCTTCCAACGGTTGTCTCCCAACGGGGCAATCCCCTAAGTGGACACGACCCCTTGTAGGGACCTATGATAACCGTGCTTGGAGGGAGGGTCGATTCCAACATCGTTCATGAGTCTTGGGTTTGTACTGGTCCTCCTCCTCCGCCTCCTCTCCTCCTCCTCCTCCTCCTCCTCCTCCTCCTCCTCCTCGTCCTCCTCCTCCTCCTCCTCCTTATCCTCCTCCTCATCCTCCTTCTCCTCCTCCTCCTCCTCCTCATCTTCCTCCTCATACTGAAACTCCCCTCACACCTCCCTCCTCCGTCATCCATCCTCCGTCCTCCGTCCTCCCTCCTCCCTCCTCATCCCTCCTCCTCCTCAATCCTCCTCCTTCCCTCCTCACTCCTCACTCCTCCTCCGCCCTCCCCCTCACTCCCTCTCTCCCCCTCCTCCTCCCTCCTCCTGCCACACCCTTCTCCTTCCTCCTTCCCTCCTCCTCCTCCCTCCTTCTCCTCCTCCTCCTCCTTCTCCTCCTCATCGTCATCCTCCCTCCTCCACCTCCCTCGTCCTCCACCGCTTCTCAACGACCATCGCGATTCCAGACCGATCATCGATTCCAGGTCGAGAACCGATCATCGATCGATAGGGGGGTCCCCTGAGATGGGGCCGGGATCGACCTCCTCTGCTCCCAAAGAGGATTTGGGCACAAACAGTTGATGAGGCTGGAGGGTCGGGCCCAACTGTCCGATGTCCTGATTATTGCAGCACGCGATCGCCAGAAATCCCGACCCTTTCCCCAGGGGCCCGATGCCCATGCCGAGCTGACTCGTGGCGGCCCTGGGGCCCGTCGAGGTCCCTTGGCGACCGAACACCGGCCAGGCCCTCTCCGTCGTGACTCTTCCCGACGAGGGCACGCGGGAGACCGCCTCGCCCATGCGTGGGCCACGGAGCGCGCACCTCTCCGGCAGCCGCTCGCCGCCGTCTTGCGTCTGGCCCTGTGTGTGGGGAGGGCGGGCCCTGGGGCGGCAGGGATGGCTCTGCAGCACCAGCGGCACGTGCTGGGCCCGATCTGGCCCTCGGCTTCCTGCCTCCACCTGCTCTCTCCTCGGGGAAAGGAACATGTGCACGAACACTTTCGGAGGTCCGCGCGAGTGTGTTGAGTCTGCGCTGGGCCCTTCTGCTGGCGCCTTGCGGGAGACCGATGGAGGGGCGACAGGACTGGCAGCAAGAGGAAGACGAGAAAGAAACAGAGAGAGAGAGAGA